GCAATCCTTCCGCCTCAGCCTTCCGAGTAGCCAGAATTACAGGCATGTGCTACCACGCCCGGCTGATTTTTTGATTTATTGTAGAGATGAGGTCTCGCTGCCCAGGCGGGTCTCAAACCCGCGGGTTCAGGCAATCCACTCACCTCAGCCTCCCAAAGGTGCGGGATTACAGGCTGAGCCACCGAACCCGGCTTCAAGTAGACATTTTTAACTCTTCTTATCTACTAACTGTAATTCTTTCTCTGCATTTTCAAGAGGAAACCTTTTCTTAGAGTCAAATGTTCCATTCACTTGCTTCTAAAAGTATTCTTTGACTTCCAATAATTTATCTTTTCCTCAACATAAGACAATGACATTTTTCATATGATGCATCTCCCTCATCATCATTATCGTTATATCTAGAGGTTTTCTGGATTCCAAGTGAAGTGACAAAAATAATGTAAAATGAGGGAAAATTTTATTATCAGTGCTAGAAGCTTGGATGAGGGTCTATACCAAGTACTCAGTGATGAAAACAGATTGAGGGATGAGCCAGACAATACTTGATGGACTGAAATGTGATAAAATGGGGAAATTAAGAGAAAGAAAAAGATAGCGAGAGAGAAAGAGAGAGAGAGACCTTTCAGTGCTATCGATAACATTCCCATCCCACCAGCTCCCTCCTGTAACAACAGAGGCTGAAGGAAATAGCGGATGCTGGTGTTCGTTGTGTAGTCAGTCTCATTCTTGTTGCTTCTCAGAAGTGCATCAGGCATATAGCAGAGCAATAAGAACAGGAATAATAAGTGACTTTGTACTACATCAAAAATGGGATGTATGACTTTGCATGAGAGCATTCTTTCCACTGAGAGAATGAGGGTATGACCCAAACTAAATGCAGCCTGCCGTATACCCAGAAGTCTTCACTGAAGGTTCCTCTTTACTCCCTCACAGGTCACTGTAATCTAACAAATTAAACTATAGAACCTATAAAGCTCTCCTCTTCTCTCTTTGTTTGGGATGGAAGGGTTTGATAGAGACCAATTTACCTACTAGTAAAACAGCTCACTGTTCTAGATATTCTAGGTAAAGATGACTAAAGAAGATAAATACCAGTTATCAGTTATATGGATAAAACAGCTAACATTTTTCTGAAGGGTCTGTTATCTTCTTTCTGAGGTCGAGTTCAAAGGTCTCTTCCATAAAACTAAGTGAAATTGTAAAGAAGGGACAGCCCTAAGGGACATAGGGAGGTAAACTTTATATGGAGACAGATGCAGTGAAGGCAAGGAGCAGCAGATCACCGCAGCAAAACCAAATCAGGGAAGGAAACAGTCACTAAGAAGCCACTTAGTTTTCAACGCATAGCTATTTGCATGCATGTCTTGTCATATTTGTGAATGTAGGAGATAAAATGAAGCTCCTACGAATACAGGACTCACGTAAAACAAACAGGGTTCCCACGAAGGATGAAGTAAAATCAGGCCAGCAAAATGAACGCCTCCATAGTAATAAATGTTAGAATAAATGAATGTCCATGGAATTCTTCAAGGGTAAAAAAGTATATATATATATGATGTAATAAACAGCTGCCAAGCCCTATAGTTTATGAGGAAGGGCAACAGAATAGTCCAAATATTTGGAAAACAAAGTGATGACATTTCTCTTATCAGGAAAATAAAGGAGTAAGCCAACTGATTAAAACAAGGAATTTACAAATAGGGTCACTGCAGAATAAAAGAAATAGGACTGCCCTGAGAAAACAAGTAAAAATTAGTTAGCTATTGTTATTATGGTTATTATGAAGATTCTGTTAATGTCAAATTATTTTGTTTTTTTTTTGTTTTTTGTTTTGAGTTGGAGTCTCACTCTGTCGCCCAGACTGGAGTGCAGTGGCTGCTCCCGGCCACCGCAGCCTCGACCCGCTGGGTTCCGGCGATCCTGCCGCCTCAGCCTTCCCAGTAGCCGGAATTACAGGCATGTGCTACCACGCCCGGCTGATTTTTTGATTTATTGTAGAGATGAGGTCTCGCTGCCCAGGCAGGTCTCGAACCCGTGGGCTCAGGCAGTCCACTCGCCTCGGCCTCCCAAAGTGCTGAGATTACAGGTCGAGCCACCGAGCCTGGCCAAATTATTTTGAAAAAGGAAAATACAAATTGTAAAAGCAAAAACACAAAAATT